CGGTTTGCCTTGTAAGTCGAGCGCACAAGCCGCTGCACCAATCTCGGTTATGGGGTTTGGGAGATATAGTATTTACCTGGCACATATGGTCATTAGGTTTAATTATTACTTCCCAGTAATTGTATAGCAAAAAATAGTTGGTAATGAGTACAATTCTTAATTCTAAAAATCTTATGTGTGGAATTGTGCACACTTAGTTGCCTTCATTTTAATGAAAATATGTCTCAGGGTTATTGATAACAGGACAACACAACATACTTATATTTTTCGAGAAATTTGATGTTCACTGTTTTAAAAAATACATACTGTGGAGACAAGTATTTCTGTTCTGCAGACACACGTTATACTCCACTCTAATTTGATAAAGTTATAATGATATGATTGCATCAAATTGTAGAATATTTTAATTCACAAAAAAAAAACATATAATCACATAAAGTGTTTCGCAGATGATAGGAAGAGCGCAAATGCCTGCTGAACAGAATCCGTCTCAATGTCCCAACATCGAACTGCTTTTCTCCCTACTAAACTATTAAAACCCACGCGGCTTAGACCAAGTTTAGCTAATCTATACTAATATTATAAAGAGGTAGTGTTTGTAACTTTGTGTGTTTGTGTGTTTGGATGTACGAGGTAATCTTCGAAACTACTCATCCGATTTTAAAAATTCTTTCACCAGTAGAATTCTATGTTATCACTGAGTGTCATAGGCTATATTCTATTTTAAAAATCAATAGGGATCCCTACTAAAACTCCAATAATGTAACCCAAAGTGTAAATAAATGACCTATAAAATTCCTTACATTGCGTGCTCTGCGAAAACTATTGATGATAGAACAAAATAATGTACTACGGCTTTGCAGGATGGACAGATTCGGAAAATAAAACGTGCTGTGTGCTGCGTACGGCGCCAACCTTAGAAGCTCTATTGCCATTATGGGGGGAGTTACTTTTGTGTTTGCTGGGGATTTTCGGCTGACACTCCCTGTAGTTACAAAAGGGACGCGTGCAGATATCATCAAAGCATGTCTTAAATCATCTCCCTTATGGAGTTCTATTCAACACCTAAATTTGCGAACGAATATGAGAACCTATATTGGTGGAGACAAGCATAAAGATTTCCCACAACAATTGCTCAGACTTGGAGAAGGAGCTTTTCCTTCTCTAAATTTGGGCACTAATTCTGCTGAAATCATTTTAAATGAGACATTAGGTCAGACAGTCCACAGTCTGCAGCATCTTATAGAAGCAGTATATCCGGGCCTCAAAAATTTACTAGAAAGAGACTTTCACTGGTTGTGTTCCAGGGCAATAGTATCGCCTAGGAACGACACTGTCAATGAAATCAACAATCTCATTATACAAAAAGTTCCCGGCCAAGTCAAAACCTATAAGTCGATTGACACAGTCGCCAATGTTGACAATGTCGTCCACTTTCCTCAAGATTTTCTAAATTCGCTTAATCCTTCTGGCTTGCCACCTCACGAACTATCATCAAAAGTCGGTACTCCTATTATGCTTTTAAGGAATATAAGCCCTCCTAACATGTGTAATGGTACAAGATTGCTCATTAAAGACGTGAAAGAAAATTTGATTGTCGCGACCATCCTCACCGGTCCAGCAGCCGGCCAGCTGGCAAACATCCCGAGGATTCCCATGATTCCCACGGATTTGCCAATATCTTTCAAACGGTTGCAATTTCCCGTAAAAACATCGTTCGCGATTACTATTAATAAGTCCCAGGGTCAAACTTTCTCTTTGGTTGGAATCGACCTACGAAAAGAGTGTTTTTCCCATGGCAAACTATATGTTGGTTTATCACGAGTTGGAAGTCCCGAGAAACAGTACATTTTGCTACCAAACAATAACAGGACGTCAAACATTGTCTACAGAGAATGTCTTAGCCAATAACATTTTAAATACTTCTATCTCAGATAAATTTCATTGTAATATAATGTATATTAATATGAAAAATTATAAAAAAGTAAAAAAATATAAAATAAAAATAGTAAAAAAACCTTTAAATTATAAATTATTTCATTAATTATTCAATTATAATGTGCTTTTTTTAATGCTTTAGGAGAGTTTACCTAACCTAATTAACGCCGGGTTAAACAGTTTTTTATCTTAATTGCACCCGTGCGCAGCCGGGGCGGGTCGCTAGTTGTTTACTAAAATAAAAAAGTAATTTGATATGCTATTACACTACTATTGACTAAGTTGTAAGTCCAGTACTGTACAATAAATGCTAACGTACGACATTAAAATAAATGATAACTTATACCCCTACTTTACGCAGAAAAGGTACAGTAGTGGGGGTAAAAACTTACGCATAAGTAGTCAAAACTATGGCCGGCCACGTAAATGAAAAGTACTATACAATAAAATGTACGCAAAATTAAGTTATTTCATTTTGCAAAGCGCAGGTTTGTTGCAAGTACATGCGTCTAAGACTGGAATAATTTCGTTAGTATTTGTTTTATTCATGTAAGGTTACATGTAAGTTTGCATATTGGCAACATATTTGCTAACTTAATGCTATTTTCACTTTAAATGTGAGTTTATTTAGTCCAGGCATTTTAATTCTGCACGCGAGGGTTGCAAAACGGGCAGAAGAGTCTATTCCAGACACGGAATGCTCAAGTTAATAGCGAAAATTCTTCTTCTCATGTAAACCTGTCTTAAGGGCGATTTGTCTACTCGGATCCTAACCCTTTGCTACTCATTGACGATTCTTAAGAGTTACAAGTTTCGACCTTATGTAAAAAGGTCTCCACTCCGCCAGACAAACAGATTCATCTTGCGTTTTTCTTTTTAGTTTCATTGGTGAGACGAATATGCCCCCCCCCCCCACCTTTTTTTTTCCCTTCCCAACACATACACACACACACAGAATTCCATAGCTTGGGCATGGGCAAACTTGGAACTGTGTTAGTGGTACATTTTGGGATTGAAATCGTCTACCAGGAACACTGTAATCGCTCCGATATATATTTTTTTGTTCAAAGTTCGTCTACAAGGAGCACTGAACAAATACAGGCTATATTATATTTGTTACAAGTCCTGTAGAGAATGACCTGGAATCGTACCCGAACGTCATCGACATTACGGTTCAGACTTGTCAGATAGATACCGACGCCTATAACTATTCGGCTACCATGATGCCTGGGAGGTAAATGTTTTTTTAATTTGTAAGTTCAAATTTGCATATAACATTAGAATCTCACATAGCATAGAGCATAGAGCATAGAGCATAGAGCTCCAGTTGTGTAGTTGGCGTTTGAGAACTGTCCAAACTCTCAGAGCGGTGTCTACTTACGAATACCATTTAAGAAATTTTTCACGTAGGGAAAGTAGTTTCCGTTTCCTATTTTCGTCTCTACCGTGCAGTTTTTATAAAGTAAAAAAAAAATCTAGTACGGGTGTTTCACAATAATTTCACTTACGAAATTTCCGGTGCAGGAAACTTAACATAGCACAAGGAGAAGCAGCAAAGTTTTGTCTTTATTACACCATAAAATTCTAGGGTCGCCACTGAGAGCCCTATGCCACTCTATACTAGTCTTTCACCCCTATATGCTATTCACAGTAAAGTGAGCACTTTTAAAGGCCCTGCTAAACTTTTACTTTCAGCCAATTTCAATTTTCCTGCCACTTTTTGATGTAAACATTGTCATGTGACTAATAAACACAGTGTATACATTTCACCACAATCAAAAGTTAACATCTGAGGTCGCAATACCATATATTTATTAGTGGTTAATGCCTGTTGGGAGGGCTATAAAAAGTGCCCACTTGACCGTGAACAGCCTATAGTACAATATCTACCAAAAAGTAATTGGGCACCCGTGAAGATAGGTAATTCAGTACGTCAGCTGACTTGTGTTTCACGGCCTTCGGCGTAGGACCGCTGGTGTTTGTCCGTGGTAGCATGGACACAGAGGCCTATTGTAACATTCTGGATAATGGAATGCTCCCAACATTGTGGGCTTTTTTTTTTTTTTTTTTTGGAATGGACCTGTGTTACTTCCATAATGACAATGCTTGCAGGTGCCATGTTTCAAGGGCTACTATGCAGTGGTACGCCGACAACAATGTTCGCCGATTGGACTGGCGCGCCCAGAGCCCCGACCTCAACCCTATAGAACATCTTTGGGACGAATTGGATCGCCGGGCGAGGGTTCGTCAGGCGCGGCCAAAATCCATTGCTCAACTCATGGAAATGGTTGCAAGAGGAATGGCGACGAATCCCCGTGGATGTCCTGCAAACACTCGTAGAGAGCATGCCGGACAGGCTGGATGCTGTTATAGCTGCAAGAGGTTGCTCTACGAGATTCTAATGGGGTGACAACCACCAAGCAAACATTGTGGACAGGTGACTAATTACTTTCTGGTAAATAGTGTAATAAAGGGTATGATTTCCACACATTCTGTTTCCTGTAGCATTTCTTTAATGCATGTAATAATTTTGAATTATTTTCTGTCTAAAGGGTTTTTACGGTGCCTATGCAGGTTTTTCCCTTTCTCTTCTTAGTTATACGCTAACTATAGGTACACATAGGTAGGTAGTCATGACCTCAATCGCTGGCCATTGCTGCCCAATCCCCATCTGCTACGATGCATGTCTCCTTGCATGACTTCCTTCCATTATAGGCGTAAGGGGTTCGCCCTGAGACGCGATTAGCTCCCGTTCGTACCTCGGGTCTACACTTAATACTTAGTGATAGGTTAGGCTAGGAAATAAATAAATCGAGAGACCTCTAGAGGCGGTCTGACGAGAGAAAGACTACACGCCAGTTCAGTCCATTGCGCGTAAAGGTGACCAGATATCCGATGTGCACGTCTGGGTCGCCTATTACTGTTTGCCTTTTCCAGCTTCACTTTAAAAAAAGACCCAAGGAGGTGTTATCAGTATTTGATAACTCTGAAGTGCCTCTGTATTATCAATCTACTCAATAAATCTGCAAGAGCCTAGATGTTTGAGAAACTTAATCAACCGTGGCTCGTTGATCTAAGGGCATGATTCTCGGTTTGGGACCGAAAGGTCATGGGTTCAAATCGCCGATGAGCCCAGAGTTTTTTTTTTGCTTTATGTTATTGTATCTTATCATAAATATATATTATACTTATTTTTCTAGTCGAGATATAATAATGCCGTTGCCTGTAAATGTTTCCAACGGAGATGCTAATGTAAAAAATAAAAAAATTCAATACGGATTGTAGCAGATAAGTCTATAAGTTTTCGGTAGCATTGTACGTCGTCCCTAGGCGCTCCAGCGCTTTCAACTCCGGACATGTGAAATACGTTCCGCGCACCACTCCCTTTAAGGGCGCCGCCTACTAGGCGTTAGAAATGTGTTGCAGTGTGTTGGGAAATACCGTTTCTCATTTGCTAAACTATTCCACGTGTGTACAATATGCTAATTTACGAAAAGAAAACAAACTTCAGCCGATGACGCAATGTCGCTTTCATGACACTACACATATTAGAACGACAATTTCCAAACCCTCTAACATTGCTGAAAACAGCATTTTCAGACTGCCATATGTAAAATGGTGTGTTGACCGGAACTACGTGAAACTCAGATACAATCATGCATTGAACTTAGCATTAAACTTTCTATTGTAATCTATATGTGTTAAACATACGCAATTCATAGGAGATGTTAAAGCCCCGATGTTAGAACAGTCAATAATTTCTTTAATGTAATGGCTCACTTATGTGCACACACAAATATTTTGCATACCCCACGCTTGGTTTACCGATATATCTAAAATGATGGCGTGTTGGACCAGATTAACTGTACAGAAAATGATATATATTTTGAGCCGGTATAACCCAATGACTGTAAATGTGTGTAGCCAAAATTATAATAATGTACGTATGGAAATCAGACAAATCATAACAATATGTACAATTTCTTTTCCACGTCATCATCAGGATAATTAATTAATATACACAGACTATTATAGATTGCAGAAAAATAAATACTCACTATTAACATAACACAAGGGAACACTTTGAAGAAAGCTTAGGAAAATATAATTAAAGAAATAATGGAAAATCTCATTCACTACTAACATGCAACATATTAAAAACACTTTTCAACAGAACACGTCTAATATCTAAGGATTCTGCTGTCAGTTCTTAGAGAAAATTAGTTACTTCAAATTAATCTGCCATAAAAGAAACTATTGATTTCCCTAAAATAATCACACAATAGTTCTGATTAATTACAAGCATATCATTTGACTATCAAACTTAAACTGAATAATATACTTAATAGTTTCCATGAAGGCAACCAGGCTTAGTTTATCAATAAAATTGATCTCGGTAATTTAATACCGCATCTTCGGACCACTGGACTTGTCATGATATTAAATTCAACATGCATCTTCAAGGCCATAATGTGTTGACTGATTAAATAGCACAGGAAAACCTTACTTGAATAATTCTGCAGATATTAAGGCACAATAGCTGGTATGCCAAACTGCTTCAGGACACCAACTGGGAAATGCATAATGAATAATTATCCTGCATCTAGATACTCTCCGGTGTGTCTAGCAGCGATACATAATACTGCTCAGCCTCAATATTGGAACCTCCTCATAAAATTCAATTAACATCACACACGTCAGTCATACATGCAACTTCTGCATGGAGGCCATTTGTCACATTTTCTTTAGAATATTTATATACAACATAAAATTTTCAGTCAAGTCATTCCTAACTAACAAAAACACTTCTGCATGTCACATTACAAAATCACTAAATTTGTTTCCTGCTGGGCACACTTTCATATATCTCTTACCAATGAGAAACTGATATCACACTATTTGAACATTAATTTCCATCATTAAAATTAAGCAGCTAAACTGCCAATCTAGTAGAGTGTAGATAAAAGTTGCAGTATGTTTTCTTACATAGTTGACATTAGTTGATTTAAATAAATTACAGTATGTGAAAATACCTGTTGGTTAAAGTGGCATGTAAAAGAATTTAGACTAAATCATTCAACTGAAGTTAATAACATATGTTCACAAAATATTTTAATAATCATAAATTACGTGTGTAGAAATTTAGAAACAATAAAGTGTCATGTGGAGACTCCCTGTAGGAAACTCCTTACACCACCATTAAAATAATATAGTCACCTCTTAAAGTCCCATAGGAAAAACGATTCGACAAAAAGCTCGCGCGCTAGTTTAGTGCTTCGCGCATAGTGGCGATGCGGCATTTGATGTGCGTGCCAGTGTCGTCTTTAGTGTTCGCTCACTCCTGCGGCATGTCGCGTCAAGTAGGCGGCGCCCTCGATTACAGAGTACACAAGAACACAAGAGACTAGATGGCGTGGCGTTCCCTTTGATGCCGGCGTATCCATTCTCTGTGATTGGCTGCGCGGGGGTCTGGGAAATGAGTAGTGCGTCTGATTGGCTACTGCACGCTGTGAAAGGTTCCCCTGTTGGCTGGGCCGCCGGTCGGCGAGTATGTTACCAGGCGCGTGATCGACGAAGGGTACATTTTCCGTTTAAAGGGAAATAAGAGACGTACAAAGTGGTGTCTGTGGTTTCTTGCAAATTAGATATGTAACAGTTGTGTAACATGTAACATGATGTTTTGAACATTGTATTAATGGTGTAATACGATTGGTTCAGAGTCAATATGACATCATAGGGCTTGCATATTCGTATATTATAAGCAGTAGGGAGATCAGCTGGGAGGATTAGTTTGACAATGGCTGCCGTGAAAGATACATGGTCTAGGCTGGATTCTACGCTAGGCAATCCATGGCTAGTTACGTTAGAGTGGAGTAGTCATTGCCTGCCAATGGTTTACCGCCATCGATTTCTTCTTCGAGTGAGATGTCTCCTGTTTTTCCAGCGCCATCGATTTCTTCAGTTGTGATGGCTACATCACTAGCAGCATCTGCTTCCACCGGCGCAGTACCATCGTTGCCTGAAGTGTGTTTTCTTTTAGTACATCGGTACCATGAGGACACATTCATTGGTTTCGTAAAAATACGCTGACTTGACACACTCTGCAACACTTTCCGTGCACCAGGTACACTGAGAAAAAGGTTTTATCAAACAAGATTTGCTTGGTGCAACCAAATTATTTGTTTGTATAGGAGAAATAAAATATTTGGTATTTTGTTGTTCTCATTTGGCTGCCCCAAACTGTAAGATTTCGTTGGTCCAACTAAATATTTGTTTAACTACACGTCCATTAAACAGTTTGGGCAGATGTAAAAATATTTTACAAGTTCGACCGAGTTTCGAATTCATATGAACTGCGTCCCAGCGCTACGCCTTTAGAATCTCAGCTACTGTGACAAATGATAACGCCGTAAAACTTTGAAATATATATAATTCAAATAATGGGCAACGTGTGCAAACAAATACAAGTTTTGCAAGTTTACTTGGCAGTTTCTTGCTGCATTGTTTTATTGATGTGTTTATACGATTTTTAAGCATCAATAGCTGCACTAACAAACACGGTTACTATCCTAATTGTCACAAAAAAATACAAACAAAATCTCGAGCTGTGTTTTTGAACGAAGGCAGTCAAATGAGTGTCCAAACAAATGTATACAGTTGATTTAACAAAATATTTAGTTGTAAGTCTAATTTTTTTTGGCCTATCACAAAAATTCTGTTTATTCTAACATGTATTTTGTTAGACTGACAAAAGTAATTTTGTTGTTTTTAAAATTTTGTTTGCTCAACAATATATTTTGTTAGGGCAACCAAATATATATTTGGCCCTACAAAAACACATACTTTGTTCGATCTTCTCTGAGTGTAGGTGGCACCCTGTGTTCGAAGTGGGTGACGCTCATAAAGAGCGTACTTGAGGCGATGTCTCAACGGTCGCTACTCCCTTCTCCGGCAGACACTAGTGAGAGTTAAGTTCGTGACTGGCGTCACGTCCACACGCTCCGATCTACGTCGGGACTCTAACGCGCTGAATGACTTAAGTGAAGCGCCCTGACGACTTCGGTCCACACATGCGCACGCACGCACACGCGCACACACACCCGCGCAGCCACAGAGCAGGCAAGTGTACAGGGGCGAAACACTTGCTTATATATAGTCACGCTTTCTGACTTAAACCTTTGAAAAATCACCCCATGAATAACTTGTCTGATTATTAGAGCCCCAATAATTTCGCGGATTGATGTGGCAGCAGGCTAGATTTGACAGTCCTCTACGACACTATCGATTGATTATTGGTTGCTGCGATCAAGTGAGGCCTTTGTATAGCATTCTTCGACACTCACTCACACTACTGCTTCCTGATTATTACTGGCTCACAGTTAAACGGGGCGTGGTTAAAGAACTGCGGTCCAATCACAGTAGTAGTACAAAAGAACAAGTGTTTGAAGTCTACCTCGGCACCGAACGAATTCGGGAAATACTCGGGGCTCTACTGATTATTAGCAGGGAAACCCGAATTTTGCGAAAAGATTTCACGACCAGTTGTATTTCATAACACTTAAGCTCAGATTTACTTTGCAGACTGGACGATCTAGGAGTGGTGCGTCTTAGGTGTCTGCCCGCGAGTCACAGATGTACAGAGTCGGAGTTACCTAATTCTGACTGGCCAGTCAAGTAAGAATATATTTTTTAAAGACACGCAGCCAATCAAATTAAAACTGCTGGTACGCTCGTAAGGTATGGATATCTAGCATGTGCGGAAATCTTTTCGCGAAATTCGTGTGTCCCTAACTATTAGTGACCCGTGAATTTCGGGATATCATTTGAGGACAAGCTAGACTTCAAACAGGTTTACATCTGATGTTCTGTCTCAATTGGATCGCAGTTTGTATAACACGTCCTGGACCAATTTGAACCAATAACTGACCTACAAGAAAACAAGGACCGAATACCGCTGTACCTGGTAAGCGATAAAATTGGGGCGTCAGGCAATGAATAACTTACTGAGGCTCCAGTATACATAATATTGTGGAGTCTAGCGTGTTGCCAAATGAATCCGCGAAATTTCCGGGTCTCTACTGATTATTCCATAAATATGTTAATGTATGAATCACAGGCGTTTTATACTTATGTT